AATGGACGTAATAAACGTCTATAGAACTCTCCACCTCAAAACTGACCACAACATGAGACATGAAATAATACTCAGAAAATTAAAAAGACCAGAAGTCATACCAACACACTCTTAGAACACAGCAAAATTAAAATAGAAATATATACTAAGAGAATTGCTCAAGATGATACAATTACATGGAAATGAACAACCTGCTCCTGAATGAGTTTGGGGAAAATAATGAAATTAAGGCAGAAATCAGGAAGTTCTTTGAAACTGATGATAGCAAAGATGCAGCATACCAGAATCTCTAGGACACAGCTAAAGCAGGGTTAAGAGGAATGTTGATAGCAATAAATGCCCATATCAAAAAGTTAGAAATATCTCAGATTAACAGCCTAACATCACAACAACAAGGACAAAAAAAAAAGAAAGAAAGAAAAAATGAATTCCAAAGTTAGCAGGAAAAAAGAAATAACCAAAATCAGAGCAGAATTTTAAAAAAATATATAGATAAAATGTACAAAAGATTCACAAATCCAAGATTTTGGTATTTTGATAAAAATAATAAGATAGACCATTAGCAAGATTAATAAAGGGGAAAAAAAGGATCCAAATAAAAGCGGACATTGCTATTGACCCCACAGAAATACAAGAAACCCTCAGAGACTACTATGAATACATCTGATTACACAAACAAAAATAGCAGAAATGGATACATCCCTGGAAACATATAGCCTCCCAAGATTGAGCCAAGAAGAAATTGAATCCCTGAACAGATCAATAACAAGCTCCAGATCTGAAACAATAGTAAAAAGGCTACCAACAAGAAAAAGCCCAGGACATGATGGATTTACAGCCCAACTCTACCAGAAGTATAAACAAGAGTTGGTATGATTCCAGCTTAATTTTGAAACTCAGCATGTCTATTAGGCATGGCCATAATCTTTCGGAGAGTTTCATAGTCATACTCTTGCTTTGCTCTTTATCCTGAGAACATGTATTACTTTTAATATATCCATGGGCTTGACAGACTGGCTGACAGTTTTATTTTACAAACTGACAAGATGTGGTCCCTCTACTTCCTCTAGTTTGGCTTACAAACTGGCTCTTTTCTTTTCTTTTTTTCCTTTCCTTTCGTTTTCCCTCCCTATGTCCCTCCCTGCCTCCTTTTTTTCTTTCTCTTTCTTTCTTTCTTTCCTTCTTTCTTTCTTTCTTTTCTTTTTTCTCTTTCTTTCTTTCTTTCTTTCTTTCTTTCTTTCTTTCTTTCTTTCTTTC